ACATAGGCTCCAGGACGCAATTTCTAGTCACCATGGCGACCTGTTGCCTGGGATTTGTCGAGCCCTGCCTTAGTGTATAGTTCAATTAATCATTAAAATATGTAGAGATGGCACAGCTGTAATGATGCAAAAGACAGGCCATCTAAAATTGAGTGCACAAGGTGTAGATTAATGAGGAAGGCCACCAAGAGACCTTGAGCTCAGGTTCACACCAATGCGGTGCGGGAACCACTGCAAATACTGAGCGTTTCCCGCACTGCATTGCAATCGCATCATGTTAATACTATCTGGTGCGGGTGTCAATAATAAATTGACAGCCTGAAACAGATCGCAAAACACAATGCGATTGCCAGAAATCACATCGCATGGGTGAGAACACCCATGCGATGCGATTCAGGTGCGGATTTAAGAGTCCTGCACCTTTCTGGTGCAGATGTGATTGTGAGCCATACAAAGTGCATTGCTCAATTGCACTGCACAGACCTTTGCATGTAATTCGCACAGGAATGCAGTGCAATTCCTGTGCAAATTACATGCGGTGTCCCATACTGCATAGTGTGAACTCGCTGTAAACATTGTTAATATACCGAAATTGCTACATGAGAGTCCAGATTTCAGGTCAATAGACTCATTGCTTGCCATGCACCCTGACAGGGCTGGAGCAATTTTGTTTAGAGGGATGGGAAAAAATTGCAGTGCCCAAGCTGATAGAGGCCAATCCACACAGGCTCAATGCTGTAGTTGGTGCCAAAGTTGTCTACTGGATACTTATAAAAAAAATTGCATAAGCATACACCCATATTTTGTTTTTTTTTCATTGTCAATAATTTAAATCCCTTTTCAGAGATGTGTTTTCAATTTGTCATCATAAAGGATATTTCTGTTGATCAGAAAATTGTATTTTCTGATTTAATGTTCTACGATAAAGAAACATGTAATCTTCCATGTAACCAGGAGGAAACCTGAAGCATGGGTCCACTTTTAAAATCATATTTGTACTGAGTCTGTGGTGCACATACATACGTATAATTCTGTTTTCTCAAGATGACGCTGCATCTTGCCTGGAGAATGGAAATGTGTGCTGGTAAAGTTATAGTGACCAGGTTTATATATATATAGTTTTCCCACTAGCTCTATAAGGTGGTGCAAGCCAGCAAGGTGACAGAGGAGCTTTTCCCAATAAATCCTAACCTTGGTTGCCTTCATCAGCGCAGTCCATGGCTCTCACCCTGTTATTTTCAATTACACTCTACTGAACTGAAAGTATCTCATGATCCTGTCCTTGGGATCCGCTCTAAACGGCTGTAGAGAGCACAGGGAGTGGCAAATCAGACATTTCAATAGTAAGTTTTTATACAAGCCACATTAATACAAATAAGTAAATTTTATTAAAACAAAAAATAAAAGCAAATGTTTAGAAGTGTTTCAACAATTTCATTAAATAAATCCAACTCTATTCTTCTATTAAGCACACTGAACTAATATTTAAAAAATGGTTACATTATAATACATAGAATTTTACTTTGCTTTAAAAAAGGCACCCGTTTTAGGTTTCTTAAAGCCCAAATGAACCCTTGCTATTTATTGTAAGGCAGCCAGACTTCATATACAGTAATAATTTCCACATTCTGTGTTGTCGGGACATAGGGCAGTTAAATTAAGGCTCTCTCACACAAAGCAACAGCCTTGCTCTCGATTGGTCTGAGTTGCCCCCCCCCTAAATATTGCTGCAATCAGCAGTGCTGCTCAGGAAGCTGAAGAGAAGGGCGGCTACTTTGTGTGGGAGGGACCTCGGTCTGACGCTCCTATGTGCTGGCTAGGTATTTAACATCTTTTGAAGCACTTAACAGTGTAAGCTGCCTTATAGTAATAAATAACAAGGGTTCAATTGGATTTAAATGTCTGACTATATAAACAGATTATGGAGTTAGGATGTAAGATTTTTTTTTTTTTTTTTTTAATATTACTCTTTCATTTCACCATTTTATTGCTTTGTGAAGAAAGCCTGTTCAGAAATGCTTGTATGGGTTTCAGCACAATTTGTAACTACTGAGATCAAGTTACTTGTTATGTAATATAAAATGTACCTTTTTAGGATGTAATAAAAAAAACAAAAAACTTTCTAAATGTTAGGTATGTCTCTTTATTGCTGTGTTCTTCTGGTGCCTTCCACTGGTAGTGAATACCAGAGTGCTCATAGTCTGGCTACTAGTACATCCTAAACTATACCGTGTGACCAGCATTGGTGAGATTTACTGCTATTGGTACACGGCTCACACTTTGGTAATCTTTGCTGTAGAGGAGAGCTGCTTTGGATAAATGTTCTCGTTTCACAAAGAATTCCTTTTAGCTTTTTCAAAATAGATCAATTCTATCGCAAGTAATACTTTTATATATTAAGTCTTTACAGTTCATTTGTCTTTACTTTGTTTAAGATATCAGTGGCTTAATTTATACACACACAAGTTCTGTTTAGCAGTGCAAAGATTGTACAGTCTTTTGTAAACCCCATTATTATATTTAACCCAGCATTCTAGAATGTTCTGTTAACTTGTTTGATACAGCTATACTATCTGTATTCAAACTGACTGTATTCATATGTATGAGTATTAATAGGTCAACTATACTAAAGTATTAGAGAAATGACTACAGCTGAACAGTAGCAGGTTATGGTTATAAACAAAAGTCTGCTTTGTATTAACAGAGCTGATCTACAACTTAGGACCAGTTAATCGGGTTGGATATATTACTATAAAAAAAGAGAAATGTAAACAGATGTAATCACCCTTGTAGCCCCACAGTAAGGTTACAGTGATGCCACTGGATACAGGGAATCATCCCTGTAACCCCAGACTAAGGAAACATGTACACCGCTGTGTGCAGGTAATCCTCCCTGTAGCTCCAGATTAGGGATACACTAACACCACTGCAGGTAATTGCCCATGTAGCCCCACACTAAGGATACATTGACGCTGCTGTGTACAAGATTAGCACCTCTATAGCCCCAGACTAAGGATACATTGACATGAGAGATGAATAAAGGCAAACATGTTTTAAAGTCCAGCTAGTGTGATAACCATGACTCCCTCCAAAGATACAGAAGAGAAAAAAAAAAGTATGTGCTAGCTGGAAAATGAATGCAGCCAATACTTCAGGACTGCTAAGCTTCAATAAATCATATTTTTGTTTTTGGGTTTAGCTGCACTTTAATGTTCAGTTATGTCGTTCTTTATGGACGCTTGTTCAGCCAGAAAAAAAAAGTGCAAGTGTTTGCTAAATACTAGGAGTTGGCATGTCTCAGAATCTGAAAACAAGGTAGATGTAGGTTATTATATTTTATCCCACCTAGCACAAGCAAATTCAATCTTTGGATGCTTTACAGTAGGGAGTGTCCTCATTAACTCCAGGATTTATATCCAATCCAAAATTGCAGCACCAATGTGCTGTGGTTTTGGATTAATTGTATAGTAAATCTGAGACATGTGCCTGATTAATTGCACATCTGCCTTTGTCAGTTTTCTTCAACACATTTACAGTTCTTAAATCATCTACAGATTGGTAGACACAAGTACTTGCAGTGGTGTGTGATTATTTCCCTGTATGTATGGAACACAAACAAATACAGCAAATTAGTGGTGCAGTGAGAGGTTAATTGTAAACCTGCTTTGAGAACAATAGAGGGGTGGCCATTGCTGATGGCTTTTTGAAGTGCTAGTTGCTTGGCTGACCAGCTTAAAGCACATATTCACCTTTTCAGAAAAAATGAAAAGTTGAACACTATATACCCGCCCCACCCTTGTCCCTGCTGTACTTACATTGTGGGTGATGAGCAATCAGTACCCACATAGTGGTCCAAGGATCTCAAATCTCTGCTCCTCTCTCTGCAGCGCATATGGGACAGATCAGAGCGATGCTTTGTGCCAGCACTGACCAATCAGAATCAATCTAGTCTGTCTCAGAAAGAAGAGGGAGAAGAGCAGGGATTTCAAATTCCTGGACCGCTACACTGGATGTGTGGACACTTACAGCTCAGGACCCACGCAGGTAAGCACAGCGGGGAATTGGTTGGTGGGGAGAGTGTACAGTATTCACATTTTAATTTATTTCTGAGAAGGTGAACTTACCCTTTAAGTCTAGACTTGCAACAAATGTTCCTTTAAACCTGTCAACCAACTCATGACAGGACTATGCCATGGCTTCCTTCTGAAAATGGAAGTTGTTGGACCCTTAATACTTCACTGACCCAAAACAACTGTACATAAGTCAGAATTTCTCATTTCTATACCTGTTCCAGGTTAGGGAAGCCAAAGCACCAGGCAACTAGTTTTTCAGGAGAAAAAAGGCAGCCCACATTTCAGTCAAGCCCACTAAATCTTACAGGGAGATCACCCAACCTGCACAGAATACTGTCAGGTGAAAAGCAACTTATCCAAGCATGGGATCATTTGTTGCCAGGGACAATACCCCTTCTAGTGTCCAACAACATCTATCGTAGGTGGATGTGCAGAGGTAAGCAAGTGTTCTGCTGCTTAGTGTTTCTCCATCTTTGACTAAATGTTCTGGCATTAGTGCAATATAAATACATAACAGTTTTTATCAATATAATTGCCTTTCCCATTGCTCTCCCCCCCTTCTCTGATGGATTTTCCAGTTGTGCCCCTCACAGTTTAAAAGTTCATTACCTTTAATTTTATAGCTCAAACTGGTTAACTTTTAACAATCTATTACTGCACTATTCCTCCAACACAGCACCACTCTTCTCCAAAACCATAAAAAAAGTATTAGGAATTTTTCCTGAAGCACTGCCTTTTGGGAAAAAATATCTAACCAAGTAGTATGCCCATGCCACACCCCGTAAGTGCATGCAGGTGTGTACACCTAAGTGTAAATGAAGAAAAGTTTGGAATCATGGTTCTGTAAACTGCTGGAAGGGATTATGGGAAAACAAGGGTTAAAGCAGCGTTTTTCTGTAAGGCATTGGGTAAAAGGCTGTCAGTGGTTCAGTGGGGTTCCTTCTTGTTTTGTTTCTCATTCAGTTTGTATTCATCCAAAATTGCATGGCTGGTTTCTTTTGCAGTTTTTTTCACAATGGCTTTTACACCCAGGTGGTCAATGTTAAATGCAGTTACTCCAACGTTGATCGCAGAATTGACGGCATCATGAGTGGCGTGCCCAGCATCTTTTCCATACCTAGATCACACATTGAAAGATTTTACAAATATCTCCATAATCACATTATTAGATGGCATTGATTTGAGATTTTTTTTTTTGGGCACAGTTATGCAATTAATTTGCCACATATATAGCTACCTAGGCCTTCCCACCGCAATCCAAAATGGAAAAAATATTTTTCTTTTTTTTCGAAAGTTGTTCTTTGCCAACTTTTAAAGAAAAGGCAACTATTGTGTGGACTGCAGCAAGGACATTGGTAATGTAGTCAAGCAATGCAATAATATCTAGTGAGCCCCTTTGGGTTTGTTTTCAAGATATTGTATGTATACAATTTTACTAGTATCACTGACATACCTTTTGAACTTCTTCTTGGCAAATTAATTGCAAAGACTACTGTGAGCCTAAACACAGAGCTAAAACCAGATTTACCCGATTTTTATATTTGAAGTGATAAAAATAATTATTCATCTCTTATTTACTTTGATAAAAATAATTATTCATCTCTTATTTACTTGAATTAAACAGAATTTTCTTTTTTTGTATTGCTGCACAAAGTACAAAAACTCACACAACTGTCATACTGGCACTTTGAAAAACAGAAGAAAGAAATGTAGGTTGCCCATAAACAATCAGTTCCTTGATATAATCAGCATCTAGTTATTGTGGGCAATTAGACCTTTACTGCCCATTTACATGTTTGCACTGTATTTAATGCACACATGTTGCATTAAGGGAGCATATTAATTTAAATGTTGCTTAACAACCCGCTCTCCCCCCAAAAAAAAAATTAAAAAGTGCGTGCACTAAGGTGTTGGGTACACTAAGGTACACAAAGGTGTTGGAGTGTCATTCAGAAAGAATGGCACCTTGAGGCACCAACCTGCATAAAGGTGTGATGAGGTATTGCACCCTATAATGCAACATTGTAAATGGGCCCTTCTAGTTCCTGTAATAAGCACAATATTTCCTCAAAGCAGGTCAGTGAGACAGTAAGGTGTGACTTGTGTACTTTTCAGACATCAGAATGTAATTCATGTAAAAGAGGAAGGACTCTATTCATATCAAAACTGGGCTGAGTATTACAGGGCTACCTGTTTCTGTTCATTTATAGAATACAGATAATAAAAACAACATTTTGTTCAATAGAAAGCTATTTTTGTGCTCATCTAACTAGATGAAGAGAATAAGTCTATTTACCAGATATAAGTACACATTCACAAGTATGTACTGTATCTGTGCGAGAATATGGCTGTATCTCAACTATGTGCACATGGTCACATATTGATTATGATACCTTTTTTCCATTAGCAGGATCCTCAGTATGAATAAATGTAATCTACATGTGCTAAACTGTTAGTCCTCATGCACACTGGATGTTTTTACAGCGGCTGTTTTTGACTTTTTACTTTTCTACAGCCAATAAACTCTCCAGCATGTTATCCTATGTGTCCATGCGCACATAGACTGTAATCAACATTTTTTTGGCTAGGAAAAAAACCCAGAACTAGTGGGTGTTGATGAGTTTTTTTCTAATGCGGTAAACCAGCGTTTTTTGGACTTTTTTGAGTGAAAAAATTTTTTTGGTAAAAATAAAACACTAAAAAACGTGCAAAAAAAAGTGGCAAAATTCCGCTAAACGCTAATGCAAAACCACTGAAAAACTGCTGTTTTTAATCTGACTTTACACAGCTAACGTTATCAGTGTTATTAAAATGCCCCGTGTGCATGGAGCCTAAAGGCTGGAGGTATTTTTACCATAATGCATTCTTAGCATGTGCGAGTGCAGCTCCTCCCCCAGCCCCACCTTTTACTTACCTGGGCCCTATGTCGATCCAGTGCTGGTCTTGAGAGCAGCGGTTATCAACTCTGTCCCTCCTCATTGGCTTAGAGACAGCAGAGGGAGCCACTGGCTCCAGTTGTTGTCAATCACAGCCAGTGGGGAAGGAGCAGAGGGTGGGACTGAGCCTGCATAAGTGCCCCCATAAAAAGTGGCTTGCTATGTGGGCACTCAGAGCACTGGTGGGAGACCTAAGAAGAGGAGGACTAGGGCTGCTTTGTGCAAAGCCATTCCACAGAGAAAGTAAATGACATGTTTGTTCCTTTTTTTTTTTTATATATTTTAATAAAAATATGGGTTTATAGTCACTTTAAGTAGAACTCTTTATGGGCAAACAGCTGTAGGGAATGTTCCCTAATTAAATTAAGTGTGTTAGCTCATCCGCTGTATCCAGCCTGAGCAGCTGTTTTCTTTTATGTCAGCTCAGCAGGTCTTCCCTAAGCTCAGTGGGTTGATTGTTTCTGCTTGTTACTGTGAAGAAGGTTCCATTAATGATTAATCAGAGCGAGATGGACAATCACTAAGCCATAAATATGTATCTGACCCAACCAATCCTTAAAGTTCTTGTGCAGAACTATGGTTTGGGAAATGATCAATAATCAGGTCACCTATCAGGAGTGTTTTCTACCTCCTGGGCTTCTGCCTAAAGTGTTTCTCCACTTGGGCCTCGCCTAAGCCTAGGACATGTTCCAGAGGCTCATCAGCTTTGGTTGCCTGTGTGAGTGGATATCTGAGGTAGTTGGGCTTGCAAGGAATTTTCTAAAGGGAAGTTGGGTAGAAGTGACTAGATCATAGCTGATCAAGGTATCTCACTGCTCTAAAACAATAAAAGGACACACTGATTAAAAAGGTTCCATTGGAAGCTAAGACAAGACCGTGACTGCTCTTTTCTTTAGGTGGATCAGTCTGTTTGCTCCCACACAGGGCCTGCTACTACACCCATTGCTACTTCAGAATACCTGTACTATTTTCTATTCCTTTTTGGGTATCCGCACTTCTAAACCCTCCTCTCCTAGAATTGCATTCAGCAACAATGAGTAAAAAGGCTAAAGTGACTGACACCCAACTTTTTTCACCCCATCATACACCAAGAACCAGACTGGAAATGTTAGCCTGCTACACTGCACAAGGCATCACTTCACACCACCCTAAGAGCAGTGGTAAAATACATGAAGACCAGAGGATGCCTTCACTATTCCTGGCACAGTTTTACAGCTTATAGCACATGTGTCAAACACAAGGCCCGCAGGCCGAATCAGGTCCACCAGGTCATTTCATGTGGCCCCCGCACCTCTCCTGCAGCACCCCCACCTTGTCTTAGCAGTCGTCAGCACAGAGGAATTGAAATTTTCTTCCAGATTCTGCGCTTTTCCGTGCAGCCACAGAGAGGCGCATCTCTGCCTCACCCCTCCATCTTAGCGTTTGGCAGCAGAGAGGAGTACAGAACTCCTCCTACAGATCCTGTACCTCTCCGTGCAACCGCAGCACTCCCTCAGCTTTGCCTCCCCTGGTCTCGGCCTTCAGCAGACTCCAGCCCTCCTCTTGTCCTCCTCCAGACCCTACACTTTCTGCTTCCCAGCTCTGCTCCCAGCAGCAGCACAAGGTAAGGGGGGTGCACTGTGATGTAAGGGTGGGTGGGGGACTTTTGACTTCTGATGTTGGGAGGGCTCTTGACATCCAATGTAAGGTGGGGTTGGGGTGTTGTGGACATCTGTTCTTACAGATACAACCGGACCTTTCAGATAATACTGATACGGCCAACAATGAAATTGAGTTGGACTCCCTTGGCTTATAGTGTCATATTTATGCTTACTGGGCAGTTAATGAGCAGTGTGAGAATGTGGGTTCACTGTCCAATAAGCAAGCTGATGACACAGAAAGTTACAAAGCTGAAGCAGGAGAAATTGGGGGGGTCACCTGTCTGGCTGGGTTTTGTGGTAGAGGTGTGTGAATCCCAAAATGTTCTGAAAAAAACTACTACAAATCCTTTGGCAGGTAAGTCTTCATAACAAATATACTGTATATTCCAACTGTGTATTTAGCTGTCAGCTTTCAACTTTGTTCCTAGCCTCGTCCTTTAACGCTTCCTGATAATCCAGATTTGAAGATGGATGCAAGTCAGTTATGTTATCTTTAAACATAGCCCAATATGTCAAAAGTCCTTCCCTTTTTACCAATAGCAGACCCAAAATAAAGCAGATTACCAATTGTCATACCCTAACAAATAAAACATTTTGCAGCAAAATGCCAACCATGTTTTATAGTAAATATATCTATTATAACTGTTATCATCCATTTTATTGATAAGCTTCATGTGCTCTCATCCCTATATACAGCGCAATCTTTCTTTATTTTTTAAATGAAGCAGGGAATATTAGGAATCTCTGCAAGCGAGAATAAATCTCCAATAGCAACACAAGCAGAAATAACACTTTTTTAGTGGAGCAGGAGAAGGTTTAAACAGAGTCCTGGATAGAAGTAAAAACTCATCAGGGGTTCTTACTCCACTTTCTTAAAAAAAAAAAAAAATGGCTGTGTATACTCTTCAACAAATACACCAAAATAATGTATGCCAATGTCCCATTCAACAAACTTCGTATGTGTATGGATAGTTTGTATGCGTAAGCATGTGGAGCATGCATTGGCAGAATGATCACCATAAATCCACATTGAACATTGTTTCTTCAGAAGTGAACTATGGGTAATTCATTAACCATACCCAACATTTTGATACAATGTCAGAAGGGTGTGGGATATGAATAGGTAAATCAGATACAGTTCCCATCTATAGAGCTGCCCATTTGAAGGCACACTATTTTAATGGTGTTTAAACTGGTATCCTCGAATGGGGTGGCCCTAAATCTTATGCTTGATATGGGTATATCCTAGCAGGTATGAATATCCCAAAATAAGACATGACCCTTATCTCTTTTCATGTTAAGTAGCAGTATAGCACTTGGTCATACACAATACTAGTGTTGGGTCCCATTTTGCAAAGCCCTGTCTCTCCCCAGCAACATACATCCTCTCCCTCTCTTAAAGTGGTTGTAAACACAAATACCCAGTAAAGTGACTGGCCTCAGGTGATACCCAGGGGTAAAACAAATCCTGCTACATAATTTGTACCTGTTTATCTGTAGCATTCTCTTCTCTGCAGCTGTTCAAAGATCAGAATTAATACAACTTGTCTGAGATTTCAGAAAGCAGGGGGTGGAGAGCTAAAGTTACACTCTGCAGCTGGAGCTCTGAGACCTCATTGGAAAAAAGGGTCACATCCCCCTTTACACAGCACACAGGAATGGATCTGAGGCTGTAAAATCACAGGCTGTGTGCTGAAGGTCCCTCCCATCCCCTTTTTTTCTCTTGGTGTCAGGAAAACTTGTCAGAAGCGAATCATGTTGATAGCAGAGGAACAAGGTAGATGACAGAAATTACACTTAGTGCTCTGTATTGAGATACACTATAGAGGGATATGCTTTGTTCATATTTCATGTCTAAAGTTTAAAACCACTTTAACTACAATGTCACTAACACCGCTATAGAATATCTCAGACTGCCTACAGACTGGTCTATAAAATGGAAGAGAACAGCTATTTAAAAAAAAAAAAAAAAAAATAAAAAAATACAAAAATATTTTTGTACAAGTTAAACATTTTAGCAAAATGTTTTTTTAGGGTATGGCATTTTATTCAACAAATGCTTTATTTAAAATGATAAACTGATTAATTAACATATTAAAAACACATAAATGGTATTCACTTAGGGTTTTGTAGCCGGAGGTTCAACCACATTTTCTCCCCTATATCTAGAATAAAAATCATTACACTTCTGTTAACAGATAAATACTGAAAAATAAATTTACATAAACACAATATTAGAACCTTGAGAGGGCTTTACTTTTGAAGTTTCTAATTTCAATTGAATTCCGCCATCTTCTTGGAACACATTTACAAACAATCATGTAAGAGTGTCCCACCATTATTTACAGCACTTACCGGATTTAAGCCTATATGCTGCGGGCTGAACGAAAAAAAAAAAAAAAGATAACAGGTATACAGAGCAGATGAATGAATCTCCTGCTGCGGCTATTGCATTTTGGCACCTGGCCCTGCTGGCTGTCCAAATACCTGAACAGCTCTTTGATCATTTGCCCAGGATGGTGAGGTTTGCATAGAAGAAAGATTCTGTGGAGAGGTGTCGTTTATACACATAATGAGTTGTCGTTAGGAGCACCTTCTTAAATTGAAAGGACTAACCTGTACCATATGAGTACATAGCCAGGCTGTGGGAGCCAGAATTATTGTTGGTTGGTAGGGGATCAAATACTTATTTTACTCACTGAACTGCAACTCAATTTATAATATTTGTATCGTGTTTTTTTCTGGACATTTGGATATATATAATATTCTGTCTCTATCATTTAAAATACACCTTTGATAAAAATTATAGACCATTCATCTATTTGTAAGTAGCTAAACTTACAAAATCTGCAGGGGATCAAATAATAATTGTCCCCATTGTATATCCTGCAACGGTATCATCTGCCTTCAACACCAGTTTTCACAAGCAGATGGTGTACTGGTAGCCTGTGGCTCAGGAACTGCAACAGGAGGCAACCCCACTGATGTCACTGTGAAGAGGGGCCACAAGCTAGGAAGTTATTGACAAGGGATGGGGGGGTGTAAACCTCAAAACATATTTCCATGATTGCAGTCAAATTTGAGAAAACGCCACAATATGTTGGTTATGTGTTCCCATTCACACATCATATCTAAAAAATATTCAAAAAATATTTTTAATTTTTAGATGTTACTAAGAAGGTGTCATGGCGGATTCTAAGAATTTCTGGACAGTCTTTAGCAGGCTATAGATTATGTGATTTCCACCTGTGGTGGAAGGAAAGAAAATTGCTTGATTCTCTCATCAACCCAGTCAATGTTGATGGGGTAATCCCTCCTGCAGCACGCCTTCTCACCAGCAGAACACAATGATTATTACTAGCAGCTATAGCCTCCTTTCCACCCCCTGGGCATTCAGAACTGGATGCGATGCTTGAGTGGGTGGGAAAATAGTTAAAAAATTGTTCATTAATACTTATACATTACAGCAATGGGTTTGCCATCATGCTGGAAAAAGACCAAGAATGACACCTACTTATATTTGACGGTATGAACGGTCTCTGTGGCCACACTTTTAGCTATGTTCTTCCCAGCATACTCCAGGCCCTGCCAGACGGTCGCAAATCCTAAAAGGATAAATGGTTTCATGTTAACTTGCTGAAACTGCTGAATTGTAATAGGAGGAAGAGACCTCCGGTCTTGTGAATACCTTGTACACCACTAGCTGCTACCACCATAGCGCCATCCAGTGGAGACTTCCCATCCTTGTCTTTCTTCAAAGATTCTGGAATTAGCTTGCTGCCATGTTTCTTCACATGTGGCCCAAGTTCCCTGCCGACACAGCTCGCAATGGCACAGACACCATCCACTGTGGGATATATATATAGATTTTTTTTTACAATGTACATACTAACACTGGTTGCATACAAGAAACATTTAGGGCTCCATGTACATTAGCGGTTTTTTTTAAGCTCCTAGAAGCTGTTATTAGCATTTTTTTGTTGTTCCTAAAAGCGAAATAGTGTTATCCTATGTGTCTATGCACACTATTTTAGACTATTTTTTTTTGCTTCAGCGTCTAGGAGCAGGAAAAAAAAATAGTTTTTTGGAGTGTTTTCTTTTTTCCTTTTCCTCTACATCTACTGTAAAAATGCTAATAAAACACTAAAGCTCCTGAACACTTACCTGCGTTTACCTGCGTTTTTTATCCAGTGTTTTTTGAGCTTGAAAAAAAAAAAAAAAAAAACACTACTGTGCATGGAGCCCTACGCTTTCCTTGACATTGTTGCCAAGAATAACAAAAAATTAAAATATTTTCTTCTATAAACTTGGTCTCTTTCATGCTCTATCACTTTGTAGACTGAAGATAGGAAATCCTAAAATTTGGAAACTTATGTTACTCTCAACAAAAAATCTCATGCTTGCTAAGCCCTGGTTCACACTGCTGTGACTTGCTCCGACCTACGGCACAGAAAGTAGCAAGACAAGTAAAAACACATTCATTCCAATGGATGCTGTCTTAAAGCGGAGCTCCGTTCAAAAAGGGGAAGTTCCGCTTTAAGCCTTTCGGTATCCGAATTTGACAGGTACCCACCCCACTGTCACTGCAATTGCCTAAGGCGATTGGAAGCAGAAGTTGTCCCCCCCCCCCTCCCTCCCTGTAGTCTTCTGGGACACGTGACAAGTTCTAGAAGACTATGGGGCCATTCACAAAGCTCAGCGCTTCTCCCGCATGCGCACTGGGCACCCAGCTGTGAAGCTGCAAGCTGTCACAGCCAGGTGCTCACACTGAAGATGCAGGCGCTGGAGAGAAGACAGCAGGTGAAACCAGCAGTGGCGAGGACACCGCTGGACCGAGGGACAGGTAGGTGTCTGTATTTTAAAAGTCAGCAGCTACAATTTTTGTAGCTGCTGATTTTTATTTTTTTTTTTCAACTGGAACTCCGCTTTAACTGCTGTGACCCAAGTCACAGTGACAAAAAAAAAAAAATAGTTCCTGCACTACTTTCTTGTGTCTTTGGTGCAACAAGATCAGAAAGAGATCAGTAGTATCTCAGAAGCATCTCAGACCTGAGAACCTGAAAGCAAGCTGTGTGTTTGCCCATTTACAAAAGCTATATAAAAATTCTGTCAAAGCAACTTTTAGTTTATTTTCAGCATAGTTTCTGATTAAATAGGGGTGTGGCACCTATAAAACCACTACACAAGGAAAGGTGAGATTGAATGTCGCTCCAGCTCCCATCCAATTTTCCTATCCAACATGCTGAGACAATGATAGTATAGAATTATCTGAAGCTTAGAGAACTTATACTAGTTCTTTCTTGCATTAGCATTTACATGCACATATGATGTATTCCTCATATGGGGAAGTTTTGCATTCAGGAATACCTGATATACGCATGCGTGTGTAAATGCTGATGCAGAAACATATCAGTGTTTATCTGAGTACAGCTGCATGCAGCCATCCACTTCTATGGCTATAGCTGTATGCACCACCTGCAGCCAGGATACAATATTCCCGATGATACCTTGTGTTAGGCTTCCATGTTCATCCATCCAGCACCGGGTGGGTCTGAGTTCCTCGGGTTCTTGCCTATCTGCCCTGAACCTAGGTAATATTAAGCCTTTGCACCTGTGTGTTAGTGTTCAAGCAACGTCTCTTCATGTGGAAGCTGGACCCCTCTGGTTCCTGTGGTATTCACCACCACTTGGGTATTCCCATATTCTGTGTGTTGTTTGATCCTGTCTCTGTTCTCAGTGTTTTCCCTCTGGCTGTGCAGTTATATTACCTGTGGTTTCTGTCCATGGATTCCTTCTGTTCGAGTTGCTGTATGTGTCCTTCTCAGCCTTGTTTCCCCTGCAACCCTTTCCAGCCTGCTGAGTCTCTCTCTAACTGCACCATTGCTCAGAATCCCTCACTCTCCTGCGCTTTACACTTGTTCTCTGCGTCCTCTCCCGTCAGACATCCTTAGCTTGCTGTTATACGTCATCTTGGTCCCTAGTGTCCTGTGCATACCCCGTGTCCTTCCAGCGTGCTATGTGGTTGCACTGTGCCCGCACGGGTGTGTTAGGGAGCCACAACCTGGGGGCTGCCATGCAGCGCAACATCCACACCTCCAGTGGCTCTGGTGAAGACCGAGTGGCTCCATAGATCCTGCGACTCTGACACACCACCATTTGCGTGTGGTCACACTGCTCCTGCATCTGCGAGGACCAGTACCCAGGTACACCTGTTTAGTTGTTTCCACTGGCCCGCTAGATCTTGCGTTTACAGTCCCAGGTGGTCTTATATGCTGATCGTAACAGCTTGACAAACCTCGCAGCTTCTGACACACTGTGATCTGGAGTGGCGAGACCAAAATAGAGCTTTATGGTTACAACCATAAGCACTATGTTTGGAGAAGGGTCAATGAGGCTTATAGCCACAAGAATACCATCCACACAGTGAAGCATGGTGGTGGCTTACTGATGTTTTAGGGGTGTGCGAGTTCTGAAGGCACGGGGAATCTTGTGAAAATTGATGGCAACATGAATGCAGCATATGATCAGAAAATATTGTCAGACAATTTGCATTCTTCTGCATGAAATCTGTGCATGGGACGCTCTTGGACTTTCCAACACAACAATGGCCCTAAGCACAAGGTCAAGTTTACCCTCCAGTGGTTACAGCAGAAAAAGGAGAAAGTTCTGGAGTGGCCATCACAGTCTGCTGACCCTAATATCATCGAAACACTCTGGGGAGATCTAAAATGTGTGGCTCATGCAAGACAACCAAAGACTTTGCATGACCTGGAGGCATTTTGCCAAAACGAAGTGGCAGCTATACCACTTACGAGAATTCAGAGCCTCATAGACAACTATTACAAAAGACAGCACGCTGTCATTGATACTAAAGGAAGCAATACACAGTATTAAGAACTAAGGGTATGCAGACTTTTAAACAGGGGTCATTTCATTTGTTACTTGTTGCCATGTTATGTTTTTTATTATTGTGCCATTCTGTTATGACCTACAGTTGAATATGAATCCCATAAGAAAGAAAATGTGTTTTGCCTGCTCACTCGTGTTTGTTTTTTTTTTTTTTTTAAATGGTCCATACTGTATACAATTCTCCATGGGTATGCAAATTGTTGAGCACAACTCTATCACTAGCCCCCTGCTTGGCAAATTCAACAATGTTTTTCTTCCTAAAAACCATGAAAGACCACAGCAATGGTTCCCATCTAAGTATTGGGGTGAGCTAGGACACATGAAAAATTGCACTGTGACGTACCGCTGATAATGATATTGCAACTCACAGATGTGAAGAAAGTTTTAGGCAGGTTTAGCTGCTTGCTAGATTTCTTTCTGAATTCCAGTCCTACTGACATTTTATCAGACAGGAAGTGAGGGGAAACTCTCCAACAACACTACTAACAGAATATTTTATTTATATATATATATATATATATATATATATATATATATATATATATATATATATATACATACATACATACATATATATACATATATACATACATACATATACACATACGTATATATATATATATATATATATATATATATATATACACATACATATATATACACACATACACACACACACACACACACACACACTTCTTAGGGGGTTGTTAACAGTAGAGGAGGGTTAGAACCCCTATCAGATTTTTGTTTGTCTGCATCCCTGTTGCAGATTTTCCCTCACTTCCTTCTTTGCTAAAATGTTGTTAGCAGACCAGGAAGCAAGGCGATATCTCTCTAATGGAGCAATGGATAACAGTTTTAATCTTAATTAAGAACCACCAAAAAATATTTTTGGCTTGACACACACTTTAATGGAATCATTTTAAATAATTGCATAGCTGAACAGAATGGTGTTTTTGCATCTGCCCACAGTTCAGCTTTAATTAATTTCCATAACCCAAACAAATAATCCACCCACCCCGCTCATGAAGTTTCAAGCCAATTATTAAAGAATAAAAGGCAAAAGCGATTATTCTATGGTGTTCACAGTGCTCCTGTAGGCACATTAATAAATTGCAATGTAAACTTTGAAACTGCAGGTTTTTTTTCTTTGTCAATATGAAAACGATATCATTAAATTTTAGAGTAATATTGTCTACACCCACACTTCTCAGGATTTGCAAGCTGAAATTCAATTAGAATATTTATTACCTAGGAACTGGCTGACTTTCACTGCACCGCCGGTGGCCTGCTTTGCCACGTGAAGTCCCTTGGCCACTGTAGGGTTGACTTCCAAAGGTCTGTCCTCAGGCTGAATATGTTCTCTTAATTTTGTAGCACCTTTGTGAATGACTTTTTCCGTCAGCTCAGCTCCTTTTACCAGGCCCCAGTTCAGCCAAGAGGCCCCTAGATTGAAACACAGCATTTAAAATACAATAAACAAGTAGGTTATAATCTATAAATGGTGAGAAGTGTCTCACCCTACCACTCTCTATAAATGAGCAGATGTGCTTTTACCATTTCAAGGTACTCTGTATACAGGTAAATCCAACACAGACCACTATTCCCTGTGGTGGACATGGTCACTGATACTTTGCTGATAATTGGATGTGGGCTGGACATTATCTGTAGGATATCTGGCATTTTCCATGTATTATCAGCTTCTAATGAATTTGTACACACCTTTCTTGTTTTTTCATTAAATTACGGTGAATGAAATAATTTACAGTGCCGACTTTGGTTCTTCTGGTACAGCTAGAAGATCAGGAGGCAGGGACCAAATTGCAAAGTGGACATCTTCAACAATTCCTACAAGCACCATGGATTAAAACCGAGAAGAAACACCTCTCTAATCAGGCTTAACTTTACTACAGTCCAGGGGTCTCCAAACTTTCTAAACAAAAAGGGCTGGGTTACTGTCCTTCAGACTTTGGGGGCCGGATTGTGACCAGTGGGAGTAGAAAATGTCCTGGCATCAGTGGAAATAAACAATGATTCACACTTGGTGGTCAGGGGCAGTAAACCAATTACATAGCTCCTGTGGTCAATAGGAGGATAAATAATGCTCCATCGTTGGTAATAGTTGGAGGAAAAGTGCTCCATAATCATTGGTACTAGTTGGAGAAAAAGTGCTCCATCATTGGTACTAGTTGGAGGAATAGTGCCCCATCATTGGTATCAATGGGAGAGATAATGCTCCATTGTTAATTTCAGTGGCAAGAATTATTCCCAACTGTTGGTGTCCAGTGAGTGGAATAGGGGCTTGTAAGAGTGGGAGGAATAGTGCCCACAGTGCTGGATAAAGGTAGGCAAAGGGCCGCAGTTTGGAGACCACTGCACAGTTACAGACTGCAATACTCCATCTCAAACTGACACCCACCAATTGATTTAATTACCAGCTTATACATGTACACTGACAATATTGCCCCCCATCAGTCCCTCCCCAAAAGACCACTAAACCTCTGACTGGATCCTTAACATATTATTCATTATTGATGTCATCATCTTTTAGCTGTGTAAATGATCTCTGCACAACTAAACCATCAACTTTGGAAGGTGACCTTAGATGTATTTATACATGTATGGAAAAGAAGAGTAGCTGCCTCTTATTCTACCATTATTTATCTTTCTGCCTTTTTTTCCAGCTCCAAAAGCTACTTTTCCCTTGTTGCAGTCACTAACAGGAAACTAATGTAGACAGAGGGTTCACAAATGAAGGAGACCTAAGGTTAGATAAGACCTGAGCTGTAACCCACACTGAATGATATCAAACTGCAGCATAAAGTTTTAATTCCTCCTGTGCAAAATGTTCAATTGCCAAGTGGATAAAACAGAAATATTATCTTTTTATTTACCTTGTAGAATTCCTTGGGCAACCTTCTCACTCCATGGTGGCAGGTCATCTTTCTCCTTTGGTTCAGGCTCTGGTTCAGGTATAGTGACAACATGCACAGTCTGACTTAAGTCAATGACCTCTCCCGATGCATCACTAGGCTTGAAGAACAGATACAACAGAAGGCATTATTATTATGGTCATTTACCATCTATACAAGACAAGGTGCCCCATGACCATGAGATGATTGAGGAACGATCTTGTTGTGGATAGATGGGCAGAGACATGATCATGTGCCCACTGGCTCTTTCCAATCTCTGCAGGCATCCCTGTGATGACTGAGGAAGGAAGAACTGGCCTTTTGCAGCAGAATGCTATTATTCTCCAAATAGTAGGCCAGCTCCAAACATATACAGCAATTTTTCTTGCCAACAAATGCTCAGCAACTGACCTTCTGTCCACCATCCATCTCAAGTCTATACAGAAATGCAGTTACACAAATCACAGTCAGTTCCTGGATTCATGACAAATATTACATTCTGCATTTAAAAGATATGGCATCCAGAACATACCACATATACACTTCAAGTCTAATATAACATCTTATTCTCCTGGTACTGAATATTTTGGTGGCAGCGGCTGACCAATAGCATCTGTCCAACAATCTGCAACCTCGGAGAGATCATTAAATGTATCAGCATAAATCACTAATTACATAAGTAGTTGGTGTTTGATAAAGGTATGTTGTATGTAGTCTTCTAACTAGTGTATTTTTAGGGGCACACATTTACACATAATATTGCAGTGTGTAGCTGACAGTAATGTTCAGTGCGAGATTTGCATTTTTATATAAAGGCCTTGTTCACATGGGGTGCACTACAGCGCTCACCTGTGCAAGGGCCATGTTTACGTGCACAGGGATGCACCGGTGTTCAATGCAAACAGTCCCATTGAGGTCTTCTGGGATTTGGCATCTGTACGGGTGCATGGCCCCGTGAGTGATGAAACGCGTTGGGGAGGAGCTTTGGATGACATCAAGATGCATGTACGGAGCCGGCGATTAATATGGCGGTGGTGCATACTGATCCATGTACGGAGGATACATTGCTAGTCATAGCCGGTGAACTTAACGGCACCTGCGGTTTATGCTATCTGACATATGGAAGGATGTTAATCACGGAGGGCACACCACTGTAGTATCTATATTGCTGACTCCTCACGGCACAGTTGCTCCAAAGCAAAGCAATTTATAACAGAGGCAGTATATACCTGGTGTGGTGGAGCAACTTAAACATGTGAGTGCGCATTGGTATTCAAGTTTGGTATTAAAATGTTTTAAAGCTTTACGCACTATGTGGAGTTCTTTATTTATGAGGTGAAGTGCTGTATTCCGAAGAAGGTGTGAACTACAGTTGAAATGCATCAAGTTGATCTCCAGTGTCCAATGTGGGAGCAAAAGTGTGGTTAGACCAAACATAGTATTAGTGAGGTCACACTGTTGGAGGTGAGCAGACATCTGGTGGTGGAATTTTGCACTTTTCTGTTTGAAGCACTTGGTGATTGTAGAATAATAATTTTGGATTCAGGCTGTGTTTGGCTTGCAGCGCTGCACTGGTTCATTGTATATATACAGACAATGTGTGTTTGGAGCCATGCACCCGCATAGATATCAATTGGGAACAGCAGCTGTGCCTGTGCAGCTGCTGCATCCCAATAGACATCAACGGGACTGCCTGCATGAAGATGCTGCATGTGTGGGTAAACACAGACCTTGCTTGGGTGTACACTGTAGTATATCCTCTGTGAACGAGGCCTAACTGTTCAATATGTTCTTGATGGCATTATATATAGAAATGTATTGCCTCCTTTTAGCAAGTTTATATCAGGTACTGTCATGAGCAATCTTGCTGAATGGCTGCTGAGAAGAATTACAAGATAAGTCACATAGAGACTACACTGTGATCAGTAATCTTTTACAACTTGAACCAGACCAACAGACTTGCACTGAGCAGTATAAAGCAAAATCAGAGCACTACATTAGTGAGCATCAAGCGAAACACAGAATTAAGGCCAATTCACACCATGAATCGTGCAGGAATGTGCTGTGCATTCTTGTGCGATTCACATGCGATTTTAGTCCATTAATGTGAATGGGCTAAAATCACGCCAGACCCCAGCAAAAGTAGTGCATGCACTACTTTACAAAATGCACAGCAAACAAATTGCATGGTACTGTGTTTGGAACCTGCGTTTCGGGTGTCATTAGCATTGCACTGACACCAATGCAGATCACAAGTACAGTGCATTTTGAACGTGGTGCAGGAAATATGCAGGTTTCCTGCACTGGTTTCTGGTGTGAACTGGCCCGTAATTAATATGATTGCACCTATACGGACAACAAATCCAACGGAAAATAAAAAATAGGAAAAAATGGACATACCTGTATAAAATATGTGCATATTGTAGGTAACCTTATCATATCATACGTCTGTTTTAGGTTTTTAATTAAAACATGTTGTAGCCTGGCGTTTGACAAACAGGCCTGAATGTGGAAATTAGACACAGACAAATACACACCACCCGCTTTGTTTTATAGACAACGTATTCGCTGTATTGCTCTTTGTATTTGGAAATGCAGAATGTCGCACGAGGCATAAGCTGGAGAACATCCAGTCTGGTACAAAGGAGAAATGTCTGTGCCCTTTGTTCCATAGCTCAGCCAAACAGATAAATCTGTAAATAACAAGCACTGAAAAATATCCTGCTGTATCTATCATGATAATCATTGCAGCCTTCCAAAATTACTATGGACCCTACACATCTCAGAGCTCTGATAGGAACTAGGCATTCTAAATCAGGATTTCATGGAACCTTAGGCATCCTCCAGAGGTTGACAGGGGTTCCTTGAGCAAAGAGCAAATTCTGCCTCTCAGATATGTTCTCACTGACACCATTGATCTTTTTAGATTTAGGTAATTCTTCCCAATGACCACAAGTGTAAGAAGCATTCTTCCCACTGACTATCACACTAATGTATCATGATTCGTAGATATAGTCATTCTTTAGCAGGGGTTCCCTGAAACCAGAAAGTTATTTCAAGGGTTCCTCTGTGTTGAAAAGGTTGAGGAAATCTGTTCTAAACAATGTCTCCCTACTTTTTCTAAAATGTATATATTCTCAGAAAAACAGAAAAACTTAAAGCGGAGTTCCACTCACTCTGTAAAAAAAAAATAAAAGTCAGCAGCTACAAAAACTGTAGCTGCTGACTGTTTAAAAAACAGCCACTCACCTGTCCCACGATCCCACGGTGCCCCCACCGCAGCCCGTTTCACCAGCCCGTTTTATTCCAGGTGCCGGTATCTTCAATGTGGGCACCCGGCTGTGATAGCTTGCGGCTTCACAGCCGGGTGCCCACTGCGCATGTGCGAGTAGCGCTGCACTTCCTGAATGGCCCCGTCGTCTTCTGGGACTTGTCATGTGTCCCACAAGACTTCGGGGAGGGAGGGTAGGAGGACAACTTCCGTTTCCGATCGCCTAGGTAATCACAGCAGAAGTGGGAACCTGTCAAATTCGGGTACCCCCCCCCCCCCTTCTCCCCAAAAGGTGCCAATCCTTAATGGGGAGCGGGTGACCAATCTTTAAAGCGGAACGTCCCCTTTTGGGTGGAACTCTGCTTTAAGTTTCTGCAGAAGAAGTGGAGAAGTGAGTCTAGGTAAGTACTGTATCCTGCAATACTTCCTGCAGCCTCCTGGCTCAGAGTACCATCTGCAATGCCGCACAGGCCTCCAAATGGCATCCTCCTAAGAGGTAGCCAGAAGTTTTTTTTTTTTTCTTCTGCAACTACAAATGCAGCTTTGGATGCAAAACCCAGAGCCAGTTCACACTACTGGAAAAGGGGTTTCTTCACAATAGGTGGTCTATCATAACACCAATTTTTCAATAGGCTCCAAGGGCCAGTACAAATGCATGTTTATTTAAAGTTCAGTTAGGCTTGGTTCACATTTTGCGTTTGATGCTTTCTCCAGTGCTTTTTGCAGTTTGTTTTGCATTTTCCTACACACATTTTCACAGCATTTTGTGCAGCTCTTTTTTTTTGTTAAAGTGGAATTTGTTTTGTTGCTGGGCAGAATAAAAAAGCAAAAACGCAAAAAAGCAGCAAAAATGCACTACCATGCACTTTAGCAGCTTCTCCATTGAACTCTATTGTAGAAAAAAAGCTACTTTTTGCTTTTAAAAAAGTTCCTGACCCTTTCCATAAATGCAGCAGCTCAAAAAAGCATAGATGTGAACATGTTCCATAGGAAACCATGTTAAATGGACTGTAGTGCGTTTCTGCTTGATGCCTTATACTTTCAACTTCATTTTTAGAGAAGGTGTTCTATAAATCTTCCCCCTTTAGTGGAAGGCACATACCTAAAATGCCCATCTTCAGCTCCTTACTGAAATCTTTACTGTGCTGCTCCGCCCAATGCACTAAAAGTGCAGTTCTTTAAGCACTACCCTTTGAATAAACATTTTTAGAATTGGAAATAAACTGGACTGTCACAATTAATGGTGATCATTTTTGGGGTTTCGATCAAGACATCCACGGTGGACTGTCAACTATTTTGACATCCATGCGATAGTTTTTAAGATCAAAATGTTTATAAAATTTACCTAGGTGATGATACACGCTAGGATAGAGGCAACCATGCAAGACAAGGTGAAATGATACTCTAAAGCAGGGTTTCTCAACCAAGGTTCCATGGAACCCTAGGGTTCTTCCAGAGGTTGCCAGGGGCTCCATGAGCAATTTTTGCCTATCACTGACACCAATGATCTTTTTAGCGGTTAGTAAGGTGGTAATTGTTCCCACTGACCTTCACATTAATATATCATGAGTTGTAAATATAGTAAATTTAGCAGGAGTTCCCCGAGACCGGAAAGTTATTTCAAGGGTTCCCTGTGTTTAAAATTTGAGAAAGGCTGCTCAAAAGTGTGGCAGCCCTGGATCAATAAGTGCTTACCTCCTAACTTTGACGACTCTCTTGGAACAGTGACCCTGCTACTGCTTTCCCTGGAGTGCCATTGGTGGACCCCCTCCCCCATATCTTCTTCTTCTCTTTCCCCTTCATTGTATTCTGGACACTCTCACGGCATGGATTGGCTCCATGCTAACCCCCAAGCTATGGCTGGGGTGAGCCAAGTGAACGCTGCTGAGTCGCTTCCTTTTTCTCTTACTGAACTATGTTTGTGGGTGTCATTGACTAGTAGGCCATTTAAGCAATTTTCCGTGGCCCTTGGTTTAGCTGATCTAGCAGTAATGTCTGTATTTCTTGCAGTCTACTCTTTACAAGGAGATTTTTGACACCTTATTACTTTGCGGCTATATGTAAGCTAACATGTTAAGCATTTTTATTAGATTTTAAACTTGAAAACTTTTTCTAAAAATTGTTTTGCATACAGACAGCAGAATAGTGGAGGAGGGAGAGCCACCATTGTATGAAAAAATCACTCTTCAAATTCTTGAAATGAGTGTTGTCTTCATAAAAAAAATATGAGGGATGTGAATCTCATGTGCCCGAGTCACTTCTGTTTGGAATTATAACGGTTCCCTATAAATAACCTGTACAACCACTTTTACAAATAAAATCCTAAATATGAGATCCCAGCAACTTCCAAGTACTTAGATATTCAAACCTAAAAATTGTACTGATCTCTTGTGGGTCCATAAGTGCAAATCTCACATCTTGATAATCGTGTTTGGGACGAACTACACAAATGATGACTTTGGGTTGACTCTACAGTTACCATACAGAGGTCTCATCTGTGTTCCATTTACCTGGATCCTCAGGTCAGACATTTGTTTCAAAAGATCATCAAAGAGCTCCAGGTCAGCGGCGGGCAGCTCAGCAGAGAGTACCACCCCTACATAGGATCCCGGGATCTGGGACATCATGTCTGGGAACATGTAGACCCCTGTGTTAGAGCGTAGTACAGGGGACTGAGTGCACATGAGAGGGTACAGCCAATCACAGACCTGCCAAATAAAAAACACAAATTATTTGAATAATATGATATGAAAAAAAACAGTCATAGTACAATTTGAAGGAAAAAAAAAAAAAAAAGCCCTGATATGCATACAGTGGACACATACTTCCTATCATAATATGCATTCAGCATGCAGGACCATCTCAGAACACAACCACATTGCTGCTTGTATCTGGTGTTGTGAGAACACCACTTGCTAAGCCATGAGAACATAAAGGCCAGTATTCTCAGGCCCATCCACTGTATGCGTCTTGTCATTTTTCACACAGGCAGCATAGAATCATGTGACAAGAATCTCAAGTCCTGCCCAGCAACATATTCAAGAATTGCAGAGAAACACATTTAAAAGGTGCGCACATGCCTGCTTTTGGTGTGATTTTGGGTTAGCCCTAATACAACACTGCGCTGGTACAGTGCCACAGACATATTAATGAAGACCTGAATAAAAGTCAGTTAGTAATATAGTAAAGTGCCGCTAGTCCTACTGCGCATGTGCCAAGTTCACGGTTATCTTGCCCAATCTGGAGGCTCTCTACTGGGATGCAGGTCATTCTACTACTGCACATGGACTGCTATAGAGACCTAATAATGAAATACAGATCATTGTTAATGCCTTCTAGGTACTGCGCATGTAGGGGTTTGTTGCCGTAATTATGACTGCATTTTTCTTCTGCCGCTTTTGCTATTGGACCCCACAGCCATGATAGTGAAGTTTGGGGAAAAAAATTATTCTATTACAATTTCAGTGTCAAATATTTACATACCAATGTACACAAACTGTTATTTAAATCAGGGTTTCTCAACCAAGGTTAATTGGAACTAGAGTTCCTCCAGAGGTTGCTAGGGCTTGCTTGAGTAGTGAACAAGTTCTACTTCTCAGATAAGTTCCCACTGACACCATTGATGTTTATATCTGTATTCATCCCAATGACCACAAGTGTAAGGAGCATTCTTCCCACTGACCATCACAGTAATGTATCAGGAGTTGTAGATACAATATTTATCAGGGGTTCTCTGAGACCGGAAAGTTATTTCAAGGATTCCTCTGTGCTGGGGTTGAGGAAGGCTGAACTAAACTCATCTCTACTACTTAACATTCAATTTTTATTTTTTGACTTACACAGCTCCCTTTCAACCTGGGACTAGGGAGGAAATTAAAATCCCATTTTCTTATCTTACAATAATTATATGATATAATAATTCCAACTAATAATTTTAATATTTTGACTGCAAACTGGGTTGTGCCATTGTTGGTACAGCAGAAATTTCATACAAACATCTATTAAGGATAAGGCAGACTAGTTAGTGCCAGTTGAAGCCGTTACCCCGTATGATGTTACATGGCACCCAAGGTGCCTTCAGTATGCTGTTTTCTGTTCTCAGAATTGTCAGATGAGATTTGCCTCTAATGTATCCCACAATGCAATGTGCGGCATCATTCAATGGACTGTGAAGCCCTCCCCATTGTGCTAAGCTAGAGCTCTCCAATAAGCTTGACTCATTTCAGGAATAAAGATTTGACTTGAGGGGGGTCTCTGCAGAGAGACCACTGCTTCCACACAAACAGCAATGTTTCTTTTCTGCAGCCTGCCTGGAAGGAATAGGCATTTCTGCTCAGGCTATGCCTGCTTTCTAAGAAAATTCACTGTAATGAACCAAATGTTTTGTACACCTTTTGTTTTGCTTCCGCTAGAGCAGTGGTCTCCTAAGTGTGGCCCGGGGGGCCAAATGCAGCCCTTTGCTTGCTTTTATCCGGCCCTTGGGGCATTATTCTGCCCACTGTTATCAGTCGTGGGGTATAGTTCCTGCCACAGACACCAACAATGGGGCGCTATTCCTGCCACTGACACCAACAATAGGGCACTATTCGTCCCACTGACACCAACGATGGGGCGCTATTCCTCCCACTGACACCAACGATGGGGCGCTATTCCTCCCACTGACACCAACGATGGGGCGCTATTCCTCCCACTGACACCAACGATGGGGCACTATTCCTCCCACTGACACCAACGATGGGGCACTATTCCTCCCACTGACACCAACGATGGGGCACTATTCCTCCCACTGACACCAACGATGGGGCACTATTCCTCCCACTGACACCAACGATGGGGGCACCATTCCTCCCACCGATACCAGTGATGGGGCATCATTCCTCCCACCGATACCAGTGATGGGGCACCATTCCTCCCACCGATACCAGTGATGGGGCACCATTCCTCCCACCGATACCAGTGATGGGGCACCATTCCTCCCACCGATACCAGTGATGGGGCACCATTCCTCCCACTGATACCAGTGACTTTTCCTCCCACTGATAACAGTGATTGGGCACTTTTCCTCCCACTGGCACCAATGATGGGGCACTATTCTCCCCACTGGCACCAGAAATGACATTTTCTACTGCTGCTGGTCACAGTCTGGCCCCACTAAAGTTTGAAGGATGGCAAACTGGCTCTTTGTTTAGAACGTCTGCAAACCTCTGATCTACAGCATTTAAACGGAATCATGTAGTCATATTTTTGAGTCATGCAATCAGCTTAAAAACTGTGCTTTGTTTAGCTGTTTATTCACATATGTATTCAAGACACCATAAAGTAAACTAAAAGCTTTGGCTAAAGGCTAAATCGTATAAGAAATACACAGAACAATATGAGAATACCATAAATAAGACTGAATACAGAATATGCTAAAATGCAGAATGAGAAAAACAAAGGTTTGTGAAAGAAATGAAAAAAGTCAATGTCATGTAATACAAAGAGAAAGCAAAGAGAAAGAAACATGTAGCTGGTCTGGCATGCTGGCAAACCAGTATTCTTCTGCCTATAAATATTTGATGAGTTAACCTTTCTCCAATTCTCTGTTGCTACAGTTTAAAAGAGATCACCATCCTAAATACTGTGCATCTTCTGCATAGCTGTACTGTATGTAGGCTTGTCTGGCTGTTTTATAACTCCTAAGTGGTCATTCACTAAGCCACAGGAGACATCCCACCTGTGTTCATTAGTGTATCACATGTTCATTTTCTTTTGTTCAGATCAAATATGTTAAATTTAGGTGTGGAATGGTTATATCTTATGAACCTCTTCTTAAAGTGACCCTGTCAGTAAAAGAAACCAGTCCAGAAAAGGCCTCTCTGCTAAAGAACAAGATAAATACCCATCTCTGCAGAAGGCTGCTCCATTCAAGAAGTCCACCAAGAAACCATCATTTCTGCACATCAATCACCTGCACCTCCCACAGCTCTCAATAGTTTTGCCCGCTTACCCTCATGTCATTGCACAATACAGTAGTGATAACTGGGGGAAAAAAAAAAAAACCCAGTGCTGAAGGGAACACAGGAGACAGACTCGTAGCAGCGGTGGTTTCGTGGTAAATTTTAAATAACGATTTCTCTTTAAAGCGGAAGTAAAGTTATGTTGTCAAAAACTGCATGCAGGCAGGCTTTGTTGCAAAAGTGACATGCAACGTCTTTTCTGCAATAAAATACACCCACCTGCCTACTTGTAGCGTACTTCGGCAAGTAAACTGCGCATGCATAGCTCAGCTTACATCGCTGGCATAGTCCCGGTGTACCGGGATGACTGACTCCTGCGCATGTGCAGGACTGATGTCATCCAGTGCCAGCCAATGAAGACAGCCGAAGACCATCACACAGAAGAAAATGCTGGCGAGGGATGGGAATCGATGGAGCAGCGCGTCCAACAGAGGTGAACATTTAGGCTTCATACACACAAGCCGAATGTTGGACGGAATCAGCTGGTTCAAAAGAAACCAGCAGATATTCGGTCTGTGCGCATGGCCGAAAAAGGTCTGCCGATCGGCTCCCGAACAGCGCTCTCAGCCATTGGCGGAGGGGTGTCTTCCCTGTTAGAACACAATAGCACAGCAGGGGAGTTCACTGTACAAAACATCGAATAGTTAGTACAATGGCTTCTCCTGAGCTGTCAGTTAGTAAAACTAGTAGTGTGTACCAGGCTTCACTCTCTTCTTTATCAAAGACACCTTTTCGACCTGGTTTCTTTTACCAACAGGGTCTGCTATAAACACTGCAAGCCAATATTATTCAGGAACATTTATCTTCTCTTCATCTCAAATGCCTCCTATTTCTGCTTTCTACCGTAGACACTTATGAAACAATCACGGTTAAGTTTCATAGACACTTATGAAACAATCACGGTTAAGTTGGTCATATATGCAGGCTGAACAAGAAAAACAGATACCTCCATCAATGCTATACAGTGAAGTTGGATGATTCTCTGGCTGTTCCTATTGTATTTTAACAGCTGATAGGGCCACCCATGAGGGAATATTGACTGGTTCCACAAGGAATCGATTGAAATGAGCCCAAGTCACAGCCAGCTTCATTGTCAACTTGGCAGTATTTTAAGTGGTGAATGTTCCCACTTATCAGCAGTAATCCAGACCAGTGTTAGTCAATGTACAAGGTATAGGGAGCTTCAAATGAAGCCCCCCATGTCCCCAAAGAGCCACAAAAGACATATATCTAATGCTACAGAAGACTTACAACTTACTAGAGGATATGGTAAGAGACGTCATGCTGTAGGAGTCAAAGACTAGGGATGTTTTAATGGCCCATTTACAAATCAATGTTCTCACTACTGACTGCTGAGGACCGAGGGCTGCACTTCAAACACCAAAGGGCCAAATGTGGCCCTCAGGCTAGGCACCAGGGATCTAGATCCCTGGTGCCCAACCTTCCACCCTTTGGTACTTGTTGTGCAGCCCTTTGCAGGTCCCAGACGTCAGTAGGGGAAGCAATGGTGTGTAAAGAGGCTTTAATGATAGTGATCTCTAGCAGTCTCACGTAGTGTGTCCCCTATCTCCCTATCGTAGTGTGTCTACTCACTCTCCAAGTATTCATGTTGCATGTCTGCAGTCACTGATCAGCTCTTCTAGTATGTCTGAAGTCTCTGGCATTCTTCTGTTGTATATTGAACATTATGTGCGGCCCTTTGGAGCTGTCAGGGACCACAGCTGAGGACCCCTACTCCTTGTGTGTTGACAACCACTGATCTAGACCAGTGTTTCGCAACCATTTTCAGCCAAGGCACCCTTTAAAATTATGGACAGTCCTGAGGCACTGCATTCTAAAATGTGAAAAACTATTCTAATAGTTTTATATAATGCAGCAACATCCACACACATGCAGGACACCCAACATTAGAGGTGATTTATTCTTCCAAAGCAAATACACTTCTGCACACTGGTACACTGCACACTGGTACTGACTAATATTCCAGTGTTTCTCTTCTCCCTCATTTTTTATCCATCACTGAGCTAATGTGGCCCCAGCACTGATGAAAAGGGTGGTGGTGGTGGGTAAACTAGGTTGCTGTGCAGGCAGCTGACATCCTCGTTATCAACTGATGTCATTAGTTGTCAGGGCACCGGCGGCTAGAAGGTCGTAATGGCGTACAATGAAGACCTGTGGCTTTGTGTAACTAAGAGGCAGGCTTGTTCCACCTGCTGACTTGTATAAAAGTTTTCGGCAACTTTTAGACCTTTTGGCACCCCTGAAAAAACCTCAAGGCACCCTGGTTGAGAATGGCTGATCTAAACTATTGCAAATTGCTACACCTAAAATAAAAAGTTTATATTCGGTTAGTTACAGTTGCAGTCGAAAAAAAAAAAAAATGTGACTGTACAGTAGTAGTAGTAGTCAGATTGGTATGTTCATCATGTGAATAGGTAGGGCCTGCGTGTGACTGAATATGTTAACAATGGTAAATCCCAGGTAAGTGTAATATTATAGATCAGCAAAAAAAAAAGTATACAGAAGACACAGCACAGAGATACAGTATGTGGAATTTAAATTCATAAAATCGCAAGCTATCCCCTCTTCAGTCTATCATGAATGCTGCTGCCAGACTCATCAGCTTACTAACCATTCTGTATCTGCCACCCCTCTCTGCCAATCCCTCCACTGGCTTCCCGTTGCCCAACGGATAAAATTCAAAACAGATAAAATTCAAAACAAAACAATAACATATAAAGCCATTTACAACTCTGACCCAAATTACATCATCGATCTTGTCTCCAAATATCACCCAAACCGTACTCTCCGCTCCTCACAAGACCTCCTGCTATCTAGCTCCCTTGTCTCCTCCCATGCTCGTCTCCAGGACTTCTTCAGAGGTTCCCCCATCCTATGAACTCTCTACTCCAATTTATCAGACTATCACTTTTAGGTGATCTCTGAAAAACCTCTCTTCGGGTAGCCTATCCTGCCTTCAGCTAATAATGGAATCTTCTACTCTTCCTACCAGTCCATCCCCCACAGTTATTACCTTTTGTACCACTAGCCCCTCCCTCCTAGATTGTAAGCTCCAAGGAGCATGGCCATCCTATCCGTCTTGTATTGAACTGTATTGTTGCTGTATTTTCTCCCTTTATATTGTAAAGCGCTGAGCAAACTGTTGGCGCTAAATAAATCCTGTATAATAATAATAAAATACATGAACATTATGCAAATAGTGTCTCTGGCAATAACTGATAACTCAGAATCAAACTGCTGCCAGGCCACAGGGCAAGTACCTAATCAGCTATGCTACCAAGCATGACTCTGTGAAGGGCTTGTATAAGAGTCAGATATACGTCAGGGTCTGCACTGAGTTCTGTTTTCATAGGGTGAGGCCTCATGCACACAGGGCGTTTGCCCATCTTTCCTGGTCGCCTTTCTTCCTGGCAGCAGTGTTTTGACAGAAAAAAATGCTTGATGCTTGTAAACGCGTTCAAGCCCAATCAATCGCTTGAGTGTTAATTCATTTCATTGGCCAGAATTAGAATTTATTCTGACCATTGAAATGGCAATTCGTTTTTTTTCTTCCTCTAAACGCCTTTGCCTTTAAGCTCCTATGTGTGAATAGACACACAGACTAACATGCAGGGAGCTTTACAGGCGGAAAAAAAAAAAAATCCTGCAAGAACCCCTAACAGCAGCACTATAAACGCCTAGTGTGCATAAGGCCTAAAAAGGTACTGGGCTGGGATCGGTTATAGGACCCACAGCACATTGATAAGTTGATGAAGCTATATAAAATCGGCAGGCATTGCTAATGCTGATCTTCTGGCAAGCAGATAAAAAATACAGGAAAAATTTTATAGTCCTTTGTTCCACAAAATTTCATGTTGCAGAAAAAAAAAAAACCCCTGCAAGAACCCCTAACAGCAGCACTATAAATGCCCAGTGTGCATAAGGCCTAAAAGGTACTGGGCTGGGATCGGTTATAGGACCCACAGCATATTGATAAGTTTTGATGAAGCTATATAAATCGGCAGGCATTGCTAATGCTGATCTTCTGACAAGCAGATAAATGTACAGCGAAAATTTTATAGTCCTTTGTTCCACAAAAATTCATGTTGCACGCACCTCTGCTATATTGCACAACTAAAGGGTGACATTCGCTGTTCAATTAGCAGGCTAGAAGGAAGTGATGGGGATCTGAAGATAACTGTGTACTTTTTAACCTTTTAGGGCCATTAACACATGAACAATGGGAAAGGTACAGTGCTTATGGATATAGAGTCCCATCCCTTCTATATGATTTATAAGTATCAGTGGTGGTTTGGAGCCTGCAGATGTTTATGCTCAGACTGCATTAAGCAGATTATGTGCAGCTCACCATCACACACAACACTAGTATAATAAGTGGTTTACCTGGAGTTGCCAATTCGACCTGTAGCACCCAATAAAAAAAAGAAATGGTCAGTCTATTACCTGGAGAAAAGCTGGAGGCCGGTTCTGAGCCATTTCACTGCTGGTGTCCATGAACTTGATAATACGGAGATAGCTAGGATATGAGGGGGCACTCACTAGTCCATCTGGTGTCACAAAAAGAAGATCTGAACCCCTCTTGGAATAAGTATAAGTTCCTCTGCATCAACCCCCAAACTCTGCACCGGAGGTGGCTGTGCCGTCATTGAATAGAAGTCATCTCCTACTATAGAGTGTTCCCCAGACTCTGTGCCATAGGAGACTGTGAAATGTCCATCAGTGGCCTGGGGGGTGTATGCTGGTGGTGCAACAGCACCGTCTGTTAAGGTGTTTATTGGATTGTCTGTTGGTATACAGGAGACGCCGCTTACTGGCTCAGCAGGGAATGGAGGCATCTTTGGCAGTGGTGGTCTTTCAGGCCTTTCCTTCTCTGCTGCTGGCACTGATGGGTATAGAGGAAGGGCTGGTGCAGCAGAAGGTTCTGGAACATGCCCAGTCATACTCTGCTGTAGGATGTTCAGTCTGGTATTCACATTCTGTAAAGTCTCCTGCATCTTTACTTGCATTTGTCTTGCGGAATCCCAAGTTGGACCAACATACTCAGGTGCATGCAAGGGAACGCCTAATCCTCTGAGCAAATGCTCCTGGCCTTGTCTGTAAAAGTTCCGTGCATCTTCCTTGTAGCCGTTTTCATCTGCATTCAAACCTTTATTGATGTATAAAAAGGCTTTCCTGTATTCTTCCTCAATACTGCGAATTAAGGCGTTTCCCTGCATTTCTGGAAGCAGCTGCTTCTCCATCACTGAAATGAGAAAAAAAAAAATTATATATATTATCTCATGTTCAAGTAAATGATAAAAGAGCAACTTGTGGAAAGCTAGTCAGTTTTATCAAACATTTGGCAAAGCACGTTAATTTAGCATTTATTGGCTCAGGCAGTTTCAGGCTTTTTGAGTTCTAACGTTTTTGTTTTAGCCAATAGAAAATCATTTTGTCTGTGACATCAATTGCTGCCATGTTTTGCCATGCCAGGAAAATGCTCTTGGTCGCTCAACAAAACGTGCGATTTTGCACATTTCTGTGTATTTCTACGAGAATGAAAATGCGCCAAAAACTCATCAATCTGCCCAAAGAGAGCTACAAAACTTTTCTGAGCTTCACGCATTGTGCTTCAGGTGACTTGGAGTGGAGATGTGAACCATCTCTACAGAGAAATATTAATTTTTTCTCACTGTTTCGGAGCTTCAAGCTTTGCGCTACAAAACGCTCAGGTGTGAATGGTGCCTTAATGGCTAGGAATTTGCTGAAAGGGAAATTAGTCTAAATTAAATCTAAACTTAAAATTAAATTAGTATAAATTAATCTAAACTTGGATCTTCATCTTCAAGTGAGATCAGTTTACTATAAGCCTTGGCTTTTAGATATGTGGCCATCAGAATTTTGTCAGACAGAACCTGGAACAGCTGTGCACGACAACCAATCAGTGTCCTTGTCAAAGCTTAACTCACGGGTATCAAACTGGCGGCCCTCCAGCTGTTGAGAAACTACAAGTCCCATGAGGCATTGCAAGATTGCCAGTTACAAGCACGACTCTCAAACGCAGAAGCATGATGGGACTTGTAGTTTTGCAACAGCTGGAGGGCCGCCAGTTTGACACCCTTGGTTTAACTGAATAAGCTGAAGATAGAAGCTGATTGGTTACTATGCACAGCTACTCCAGATTCTGTCTGCTCCAGTTTTGATGCGTTCTCCCATCATGTGTTCAAACCTGCATGTTTTTTTTTTTTTTTTTTTTTAAAAAAAGAAGTCTATACACTGCATTTTGGGTGCACTGAATAGAGTTTTTCTATTTAAGTCCGTTAAATCCTCAGGACATGTCAGTGGGCAGGAATGTGTGAACCCAGCCTCCCAGGACTGCAGCAATCACCTCTGGCAAAGAGGGTGCGGATTAAAACGAAGCAGTTACATAACACAGCTGATAATAGCCCAGACATCACAGGGATCGATTTAATCCACTCAATGTCAGACCTGAAGCTTTAATTCGATGTACAGTGTTGTAACAATGGCATGGAAAAAACATCCATCCGTCTAATCAACCCCATTCTATGTACTATGTAGGCTTTAGGGCCTATTCACACTTGTCCCTTTTGATGCAGCAAAACTCTTACATTTTGCAGCATTACAATGCATGTCAAGTAGAACGTAGAACTAATATTCTCTCCTATGTGGCTGGCCACATCTAGGTGCTGGAGTGAAATACAAAAAGGTAACTCAATGGACAATTCACACTATGCCTGGGCAGCACAAGGGCTTAGGCCAGCAATCTGCATTCCATGCATTTGTCCCCAGGTGCACACTAGCCCTAAACGCAAGTACCGCTCAGTGCGCTGCTTAACCCCGTCCATTTGCTGCATCGGTCAGCCTCTCAGTGGGGCTGGACAATGCACCTGTTCCTGGCACTCACAGCTACAGTGCCTTTAAAAAATATTCATACCCCTTGACATTTTCCACATTTTGTCATGTTACAACCAAAATTGTAAATGTATTTTATTGGGATTTTATGTGATAGACCAACACAAAGTGGCACATAATTGTGAAGTGGAAGGAAAATGATAAATGGTTGTCAACATTTTTTACAAATAAATATCTGAAAAAGTGTGGTGTGCATTTGTATTCAGCCCCCTTTACTCTGATACCCCTAATGAAATCTAGTGGAACCAATTGCCTTTAGAAGTCACCTAATTAGTAAATAGAGTCTACCTGTGTACAATTTAATTTTACTATAAATACAGCGGTTCTGTGAAGCCCTCGGAGAACATTAGTGAACAAACAGCATCATGAAGGCCAAGGAACACACCAGACAGGTCAGGGATAAAGTTGTGGAGACGTTTAAAGCAGGGATAGGTTATAAAAAAAAATATCCCAAGCTTTCAACATCTCACGGAGCACCGTTCAATCCATCATCCGAAAATGGAAAGAGTGTGAAACAACTGCAAACCTACCAAGACATGGCCTTCCACCTAAACTGACAAGCCGGGCAAGGAGAGCATTAGTCAGAGAAGCCTCCTAGAGGCCCATGGTAATTCTGCAGAGATCCACAGCTCAGGTGGGAGAATCTGTCCACAGGACAACTATTAGTCGTGCACTCCACAAAAACTGACCTTTATGGAAGAGTGACAAGAAGAAAGACATTGCTGAAAGAAAGCCATAAGAAGTCCCATTTTCAGTTTGCAAAAATCTTTGTGGTGAGACAGCAATGGAAGTGCAATGGTCAGGTGAGACCAAAATTGAACTTTTTGGCCTTAAAGCAAAACATTTTGTGTGGCGGAAAATTAACACTGCACATCACCCTAAACACACCATTCCCACCGTGAAGCATAGTGGTGGCAGCATCATGTTGTGGGGATTCTTTTCTTCAGCAGGGACAGGGAAGTTGGTCAATGTTGATGGGAAGATGGATGGAGCCAAATACAGGGCAATCTTAGAAGAAAACCTGTTAGGGTCTGCAAAACACATGAGACTGGGGCGGAGGTTCACCTTCCAGCAGGGCAATGACCATACAGCCAGAGCTACAATGGAATGGTTTAGATCAAAGCATATTCATGTGTTAGAATGGCCCACTCAAAGTGCAGACCTAAATCCAATGGAGAATCTATGTCAAGACTTGAAAACTGCTGTTCACAGACGCTCTCCATCCAATTTGACTGAGCTTGAGCTATTTTGCAAAGAAGAATGGGCAAAAATGTCCTCTCTGGATGTGCAAAGCTGGTAGAGACATCCCCAAAAAAGACTTTCAGCTGTAATTGCAGCGAAAGGTGGTTCTACAAAAGTATTGACTCCGGGGGGCTGAATACAAATTCACGCAACACTTTTCAGATATTTATTTGTAAAAAATGTTGAAAACCATTGATCATTTTCCTTCCACTTCATAATTATGTGTCACTTTGTGTTGGTCTATTACATAAAATCCCAATAAAATACACTTATGTTTTTGGTTGTAACATGACAGAATGTGGAAAATCTCAAGGGGTATGAATACTTTTTCAAGGCACTGTAAATGCTGGAGCCTCATGCACTGACGCTAAATGCCCATTGCGCATCAGGCCTTACTGGTTAGTACGTCTATCTTGCAGCACTAGAGTCCCTGGTTCTGCATGGAGTTTGCATGCTCTCTGTGCTTACATAGGTTTCCTCCCACACTCCAAAGACACGTTGGTAAGTTAATTTGCTCCTGTATGAGGCTGAATTCACACTGAGTTGCGCTAAAATACAGGGAAAATTATTGTACATTTCCATCCATTTTATGGCTGTTTTAACATGAGTTGACTTGCGTTGGTTTGCATTTTTAGCACACTTTTAAAATGCAAGTCAATGCACAAGCACATTAAAAAAAATTAAAAATGATGTGTCCTGTTCACACTAAAATGCTGTGTTTACCTGCAACATGTAAGCATTTTAAACACAATGCACCTCAGGTTTCTGGCCAATGCCACAGCTGTTCACATATAATCCACTCATCTCAGCAATTACATGCTACTAGAGCCTCAGAATGATGTAGACAGTGTGCGTCCAGGGACAGTGTTTCTGTGGAATTTTGTCCGCAACTAATCAGACTGTTTGTATGTGGTCACAGTACAGTATTGCTGCATCCTTGTGCAACAATAACCCGCCTCTATACGCAGCAAACTATGCGGCTGCCCGTGTGGACGTCATTCTCACTTGCAATGATTGGGGAAGTGAAAGCAGGTACCTGTCAAAGTAAGGCACCCCCTTCTCCCCCAAAAAAAGCCATACACACACTCTACAATCTGAGTACACAGTTTCCATTTTGGATTTGACAACAACTATGTAGCACTGTGATAGCATAAATCAAAGCAGTTTGATTTATGGGACTGGCTCTAAATTGTATTTATTAGTTAAGCTAGCCATACATGGATCAAAATTCAGGCAGTTCAGCAGGGACTGGCCAAATTTCGATCCACGTAAGGGGACAGTGGTTGTACATTAGTCGATCAATAGACTTCTGTACAACCAGCCTGACAGATAAATGCCGCTCAATCAGCACCACTGACTATAGCCAGCAGCTCTGATCAGAGCTCAGAGGGAGCGATTCCCCCATCCACCTCAAATATGTGGATAGGGGGAAAATCGGGACAGCTTTTTGTGCTCAACCCACTAGTTGACAGCCAAAATGGGATTATCTATATTTCCTCTATTACTCTCCCCTCCTTTTTTCTCTCTCCTCTTTTACTTTTCTTCCCTTTCCTTTGCATTTTCTGTTTTCATTATTTTGATGCACTATTGGTCTGCCTTTCAGTCCCCTACCCAGGGTTAAAGAATATAGTCTAGCCCAGTGGTCTCCAAAATGTGGCCCGGAAGCCGGATGTGGCCCTTTGCTTGCATTTATCCAGCCTTCGGGGCAGTTATCCACCCATTGATACAAGACACTATTCCTTTCCTCCCACCAACAATGGGGCACAGTTACTGCTACTGACACCACCATGATGAGGCACTATTCCTCCCACTGACACCATTCATGGGGCACTATTTCCCCCCCCCCCCACTGACACCAACAATGGGGCACTATTCCTGCCACCGACACCAACGATGGGGCACTATTCCTGCCACCGACACCAACGATGGGGCACTATTCCTGCCCGACACCAACGATGGGGCACTATTCCTGCCACCGACACCAACAATGGGGCACTATTCCTGCCACCGACACCAACAATGGGGCACTATTCCTGCCACCGACACCAACAATGGGGCACTATTCCTGCCACCGACACCAACAATG